AGTAATTGCGGTAAGAAATATGTAATTATAAAATAAATTAAAAAATAATAGTATAAATGAAAACATTTAGTAAATATGATAGCAAATTTGTTGTAAATTAGAAAATGAGTGATAGAATCGTGAGAGTTATTAAGCTTAAAATTTAATTGGAAAACATGATTGAGAGGCACAGTAGGCCAAGAAGATGCTAACATAAAAAATTGTGATGAAAATAATTGGTAAGACATCCTTTTTTGAGCACATCATAATTGTAAGACATCTGTCTTCTGGCTCACAAGTTAGACTTCCAGAGTGAAAAAAAGTATTTAAAGAAAGCTGGAAAAGGTGAAGATGCATAAGTACTGTGATGCACTACCTCATTCACATTGTACACAATACTTTTCTCCAAGCCATAAGAGGTTGTGACAACACCCCTGCAATATATAGCTAAGGTAAAACTAAACTCAGTTCAACACTTCTCGAAGTTGCAAGAAATGGTCTCAATTTTTATAAAATAAAAAAGTAATAATTTATTTTTTGCTCTTTTAGTTCTGAATACTTTTTGCTAATTTTCACATTGCTCCTTTAAAAGCAAACAATGTGTTATTATAGAACTTTTGCAACTGTTGCTATCTAACAAGATAAAAAATATTAAGATATCTGCTCCTTTGATAGTTTTTGACTGCCTAGAGCTGTTTGTGTTCCCTAGAGAAAATTATTCTGAAGAGGACATATAATTTCAAAAGGCACTTGAGTGTTACTATAAATATCTAATTGAAACATTTTTTTTTTTTTTTTTTGAAAGAATAAGCTAACATTTCTTACGTTTCCACTTTTGGAAACAAGAGCAGAAGAAATTTGACCTACAGACAGTTAAATCATCTTTAAATGAGACAAAGGTAAAATTTATTCTAGATTAAAAGGTGTACATCATGCATTCAACATTAAGTTGGTAACTGATTAAGTTTTATCACTGCATCAAAAAGAAAATAATATCAAATATATTTACATTTAAATTACACAAGTTTAATACAAAGGTAATGGATTTCATCATATTATTTGTTGATGGGTAAACTGCAGACCTGGACAAAAAGTATTTTAAAATAAAGAATATTTTCTTTTTCCAAAATACAATTTTAATCACCTAGTATTTCAATTACTACTTACTTTTAAACTAGGGTACTTGTGAAAAGTCTGGTCGGCATGGACTGCTATCTGCCAATGTTTATAACCTGAACACTGATAATCCCTATCTTCATATGAAATTCAAAAACACAAAAACAAATGTAATGATAACAAAACACTTTTATTTTACAACATATATATGAAATAGAGAAAAACAAATATAATAATATAACAAAAAGAAATATAAATATAATGATAATATTATAATTTAATAATAAAAAATATAAATAACAAAACACTTTGATTTTACAACATATATACATATAAAGCACTTTCATTTTACGCATGCAATGCATATATGTTCATATTTTATTTTGGCAGACAAAATAGCTTAATGCTATTCAAAATAGCGAGGAACGGGTCCTCTTCTCTGTGACCCCACCGTCACAAAAATTAACATAAATATAAATCAAGGTGTTGCCTTGCAGTTCCTCGATGTTCCTTATGTCTCCACTTAGCTGAGCTCCATAAACATTCTATGTCTTCAGTGTAGACCCCAATTGATGAATCAACAAAGTTATACCGGTGATTCACCTGCAAATGATGATAGTTTGCTTCATTCAGTTGTTGGGTATTGTATTCTTTCCAACAGTCAGAATAAGTGGTGCTTCCCTCTTTTATATTATTTTTAATACATTCTAATAAAGTTCTTGCCTTTCTGTCCTTTATTTTTACGGTGAAACACTCCTCTTTTTCTCGAAAAACTCTGCCAAACATCCATTGTTCAGGGAAAACTCACCCATGATATTTTTTTTTTTTAGAAAAAAGACTCTCATCTACTTCAACGACTTTCTCAGGTCCTCCAATTTTCTTAGTTGACCTGAAAACCTCTCTTGAAAATTTTATCCACATTATTGTTGTCAAATTATGAGACCACTCATAAATTAATTTTAAAGGGGTTGAAAAGGTAATCTTCGACCTCTCTAACCACGTTCCTTTCCTTATAGATACGTTTTTGTTACAAGTTCTACGAAAGCATCTCCATTTCGTCTTCTCATTGAATTTCATTTCATGACCTTCTTCACAATATTTCACCTTAGCAATTATCCGGGTGTCTTAAAAATATTTGATAGCCTCTTCTTCTGAAGACGGCAATCCCCACAAAATACTTTTTCTGTAAACAATTTAAATATTTGGTGATTAAAATTGTATTTTAGAATACAAAATTTATGGCATTTTAAAATACATTTTTCTCCTGGTCTGGTAGACTGTATGCTAATTCAAGAAGAGAACGCATCGGTTGCTGGTCAAAAATAATATCAAACATATGTAACTATTTATTAAAGGCCAAAATTTTTACCAAGATTGTATATCTTTATCTTATATTTGTTTTAATTAAAATCTGCAATAGATCCAAGTTCACATAGTACCAGAGTGGTCAGTATTCCATTCCTACAGCAGAACACCATAGACCGAGAATATAAGATTTGCAAATGAGTATTAATCTTGAACTGAGGAGGAATCAAAAAACGATGAGGCACAAGGAGGCCTTAACTTAACTTACAAAATGGCCATGACAGTGGAAAAGACCCAGAATAACAGCAGTCAACACTGCAAGTTAGAAACTGTAGCATTTAGAGGTGGTTCTACCAGATTCTAGGATTACATTTCATGGTAGCCATGCATCGAGTTAGTACCAACCCAACCAGGGGCAGATTGCATGCAAATATTAAATACTTATTAGAAGAAATACTTAGAAGCAATACTTATTATTAAATGCCATATAAATTGTTACTGAAGCAAGAAATAGATTAATAGAAGCAATACTTATTATTAAATACCACATAAATTGGTATTTGGTTAATTTAAAATTTTTTTTGTAAAGAAACTTCTTATGTTAAACAAAAATATTGTCGATTTATTGCCAAAAGTAATTAACATTTCTTAATCTTAAAAATTAAGAACTTTCAAGAATTTTCTCTTTATGGAATCGGAAAATTGTGTACTTTATATTACTATATTTGACCTATAAAAGGATTTGTGTCATTTTATGCACTCATTTTCATGCAGTGTTTTACATTAAAATTACCCTATATAAAAATGTTTAAAAACTTTATTATTAAAATTTCTCAATATTTATTTTACATATGATATTTATTGGTAGGATATTTAAAATTTTAAATACTGTGATATATCAATTCCAAAAGAAAAATTAAACAAACTCTTTGAAATAAAAACATTTAAGTAGAATTTAGAATAATGACTTATAAGCTGATACCCTTCTACTAATATCCTCTTTGGTAACAAATTGCCGTTACAGGCAAAGAAATTGTTAATAGTTTTAAGAATACATTAAAAAAAAACCAATCATAGAAAAATAAAAATTAATGTTTATCAGGAAAAATTTATTATGTTTATAAAATTTTAATTATGTTTTAGAGTATTTTGGCCTTATTTATCTATACAAAAGCAAAGTAAATGGATCAAAATGATACAAACCATAATATATGTTTATAATAATTATTAGAGTAATATGTTTTTGATTTATTGAAGATTTTGAATGTAATGTTTGTTAATTTATTGAAGACCTTGTATTTAAAAACCAAACATTTTTTTTTTAGTTACACTGTCATTTTAAAAAGCAAACCTGCCCTTCATTCCCTTGTAAAAATTCCTTATAATAATAAAAATACATTCTCTGAAGTTAATCAAAACTAAAAACTACTTAAAATATAAGAATTGCTAATAAGTGCATAAAGGTAATAGGCATAATTTAAAATGCACTGCTTTACATTCTGCTTAAACATAGATGAAAACATAAATGAAAACATAGATGAAATGTGAAACATTCTGCTTTACATTCTTCTCACCATGGCCTATATATTTAACACTATTACCTACATTAGTCTAACCTTACAAGCTATATTTGAGCTCTAAACAATATTCATTTTTAACTTTCCTTATGAATGAGAGATTTGCTTTTAGAACGTTTTCTTAAAGCAGCAATGATTAACTTTGGTAATCAATTGAAAAGAAAAGAAATATAATGGAAATGATAATTTAAACAAAATTAATTAATTGGCAGAAAAGGGCAACATATAGAGGAAATATCCACAATTTATAAGGTAAGAAATAGGAAAACATTAATTTACAAATGATTTCAATAGGTAATGCTATATAAACATTTTTCAAGGGTAGAAATAGAATCTATTTATCAATGGTAGGTAATGAAAACTGCGTAACTCCCATCAGTTTACTTAAAGTACATAATTCCATAATTAGAGTTTATATTAAAAAAGAGATTTTAAAGTACATACCTCTAATCTACAAATAAATTAGGATTGCACTATGTAGGAACTAAATCTATATCACTAATGTAAAGTCAGGACAAACAAAACTGGCTTTCAAAGGCAAATAAACAGTAATTAAATTTTAGGATGAAAATGTTGCTATTATATTCGATTTATAACATCAAATAAGGAGTAAGATAAATAATACTTTTATTCCAAGTATATGTTCAGAACCCTTCATTAATTTCTATACAATACTAAATGAAAATCAATTAAATAAAATATTACTGAGGCGAATCAAAATTTAAGAGGATTTGGAATAAAGCTTCAATTTTTCCAATTTTTGTAAATATTTAATGAACAACAGTTGATCAAATAATAGATCACCCAACTTAACGAACTACAATCTATCTGTATCTGTTGTCAAACAATACAAGAAACCTCCCCTGAGATTAAGTATTAATAAAGAACGTTTTATAAAAGAAGGTTAGGTTATTAAACATAATATATATTCCAAATAAACAAGGAAAGAATTTTATAGTTTTTTAAATGCCGGACAATGCTTAATTACAAACCAAATATACATAAATACAGGTATTCACTCACAGTTCGCTGTTTTTTGGTTGTATCTCTGTCATCGCCCGTCATAGTTGCAGATGCCGGTATCGGTGTCCCTTGCTGTAATAAATGTGAGTCCCACAAAGCTGACCGTTTGGTGGACAGTCTACAAATAACTGGGTTAGATTAGGCCACATAACAGTCCATTTAAAAAAACGATTGCAAGGGCTTATCGTTCACTGGGTGCACTATTACCTCATGTTTTCCAAGGGCATGCCCGCCCTTATCAAACATCTTGGAGGATTGATAAGAAGATAGCCTACGTTTGACAGACCATTATTTGTAAATTATTCAACTTTGGACCAAATCATTGTTATCAAATGAAAACATATTGGTTAGTTCATTCAAACATCAAAATATTGCAAATTATTTTAAAACGATATTTATCATCGTGAATTCTATTTATTTTTATATCCCTGCTCTGTTACTAAAATTACCAAAATGAATGATTATTTTCCCTTCATCCGGCGAAAAATATAGTACTGTATTTGTCAAAAAGATAAGGTTCTAATTTTTTGTTTTGGTTACATTATTTTACTTAAATAGTTTTGATACTGATGTTTCTTGGGTGCTTTCTGAAATTATTTAATTTTCCTTGTTTTTTATATTGGGAAACATGAAAACTAAGGTCCAGCATATATTAAAATTCTATACCCATTCAAGTGATCCTCCGTTTTTATTTTTTGGATTGAGTTGAATTGTAAAATAAATGTATACCATTTGTACTAATTAAATCTTGATGTTTACATGCTTCTAAAATATATATATTTTTAATATTTCCTTTTTTTAATGAACATTTTTTATTACTGTAGGGCATTTTCTCACTTATTATTATTTATAATAATAAATTATAATTTATTATTCTTATGCCCTCATTAAGTTATTTAATAATTCTTGCAGTATATTACCTGAATCTTTTGTAAGTTTTCAAGTATGGATAAAATTTTGCTTCCACAAACTATGTTTAAATTTTATTCAAAGCAAACACCTATAGAATTAAGGTCTATAGTTTGGTACAAACTGTGGTCACTCCATTAGTATCATACTAACTTCTGAATAGCAACGGATTTTCCCAGCACAAACATTTATTTTGTTTTGCCATTAGAAGAAATTGAATCCCTTAACATGCTCTAGCATCTTTGAAATACAATCCAAGGAGTTTTGGGTATTTCCAAATGAATATATCACCACCTGATCACCTAAAATCTGACCATTTTCATATCACCAGTCAAAAAACCTCTGTTGATGAGGAAATCTAATTTTGGAAGAGGAGAGTTTTGGAAGAAACTAAGGTGTTGCCCCATCTTTATTTTTATTGGTCCCCCTCCACTTCCTCTCAAAGTCTGAGAAAATTCACAACAATTTGAATTAGCAATTAGGACTATTACACAAGCTTAGATAAAACTCTATGCTAGATTAATGTTAACACATTTAGAGTAACTTGATTTTTTTATTATTTACATCTGTAAGTACAACATGGCTTGAAATAGTTGCTGATAAAATTTGAGATTAAAATATCATTTGTAATATAGTAACTTATTGTTATTTATCAATTATTTTTATATTCCATAAATGAACCTAATTTAAATATATCGTAGAATGTTAGGAAGTCACTTGCTGATTTGGTTGTTATCCTTTTCTGCACTTAGCTGTAAGGTATGTGCTTCAAATATGAGCAAACTGTGTCATATGTCTACTAGTACATATTGTTATACTCATCCAGAAGGAATTGAACAATTGTAATAATGTTAACATCATTAAAAACAGTAATGTAATAATTTATCCCTTGGGGAGGGGAAGAGATATATTAGGTTGGCAAATAAGTCCTTTCGGTTTTTCAGGATAAAATAAAACTCAATGTATTATAAACATAAAATTTATTTTAATCTACAATATATTGAACATTATTTAATATGACTTTTTCCCATCTTTCCAATAACTACATAGTACGTGTTCATGGAATATCTGAAGTTTATTGTTAAAAATCTGATCTAACAGTAATTCACTAATGGTTAACAATAATTAAATGGTTCTTGATGTCCTCTTCCTTTTGGAATCTCTATCCATTCATGGAGTTCTACAGAGACTGGAATAAGTGGTAGTTACTTGGTGCTAGGTCTGGTGAATAGGGTGGGTGGGGCCAAAGGTCCCATCTAAGGCTCAATAATTGATTGCAAGTGACCAATGAGATCTAGCGTTGCCTTGGTAGAATACCCTTCCGATCATTCATAACTCTTCAGGATGTTCGTAAAATGTGTGTTGCAAAGTTGGCTTTGGTTAGAGAGTGATAGACCCAAACATTAAGCCTGGAAACATAGCTGAGATTGTGCAAATGGTTTTCAACGCTTGTGTGTGACTTATTTAGGGCCATAGCAATCTCTTGCACTGATTGGATGGGATTTTGATTAACAATGGTCTTAACATTGCTCTTTCAATTTCATGCGGGCGACCAGACTGTTGAGCATCATTGATGTCAAAATTTCCTAAATGAAATTTGGGAAACCAATTTTGACAGGTGCATTCGGTTAAGGCATCATCCCCATAAACACTGCATATTTTTTTATGAGCTTCTGCAGAACGCTTACTTTTTTTTAAATAATACAACAAGATATGGCGATAATGAATGATATTTTCTTACATATCAACAGTGCAATAGCAAACATAATACTAAGCTGATTTCAACAAGAGTTAACAGATATAGTTGTTGACACATTACGAAGAGGATAAACAATCCACCTTAGGGATTAATTCATCAGATAAAAATTGTATCATAGTGACATAAAAATAAACAGAAAAATCGAAAGGACTTATTTGCCAACCCAATGCCATGAATGCAAATTGAATGATAGAGTTTTAATGTTTTGGAACTTCTTGGTTATTCTTTCATGCTAGTTTCAGCCTTTCATTTTCTAAGTTGTAAAGGTAAATTGCAATCATTGTAACTAACTAGTAAGTAATCAGGCTTTGAATTTCTATATTAATGCAATGTCTTGGAGCCAGAACTTTTTACCTCTTATCAAGTAATTTCGAGATAGATTCCAAACTGATTGTACACCATGTATTGTATTGGTCTAAGTAATTGTCTATTCAGCTTGTAAAACTCATAACAGATACCATATACAGTGGATTGGAAATATAATTGATACAAAACTTGTGAGAAGAAATGCTGGTGATAAAAAAAACAACTTTATTTTCAGATTTTATTTTTATGAAATTTTGAATTTAAACTGAGGCTTTTCCTTCAATTGATTTTATTAAGGCTTACACTCATAGACCTCATAAGATTTTAAATTCCTTCTTATTAATCAGATGAACACTTCATTATCATAGAAATCCTTTTAGTGGATGGGCTGTTTATTGATCTCGATATTACATAGATCATAGATAAAGAATCTTAAATGATTTTTGAACATGCCTTTTAAAGATCACATGCCATTTTATTTTTGACTTGTTATATAGATGTATTTTTTACTGGAATATCAAATGCTGTCTAATGGCTTTTTCTAATGATTGCTTTGAAAGGGTTTGAAGAAACAAAGAAAATCATTGAAAGGACCATAAACAGAAAATTTGGAAAACCTTAATTAGAAGAAAAATCAAGCAGTGACTTAGCTTTTTCTCTAATACATACTTACTTGAAATCTTATTTTTAGCATTAAGTAGTTTTCAATTCATCTTTAAAGAAACTAATGATGAAGCTAGTAGCACCTGCTAGTATTTGAAATGTATTAAATGTCCATTAATAGAAGATTTGTCCTAATGAATTAAGCAACAAAGGAGTTTTTACATGGATAAATCAAAATTTTATATATAAGATGTTCTGTAAGTAGAAGGAAATAATTATAGAGATAGCAGACCTCACAAGATCTACAAAAAAGTGTCTACAAACGATGGTCTGATTTCCAGAAGAATAGTAGGAAATTCAAGTTTGTGTTCTTTTAAGTGTCATGTTTTTGTTGAAAAGGAAGCGATAGCTAAAAATAAAATTAATTAAAGTGATTAACAATTGTTTCACTGTAAACCAGACAAATTTTCTTCAAATGAACATAGAGTTAATGAGTACTTTTGAGTGGCTTAACTAAGGTCTATTTATGAAATTATCATGAATTATTTGCATTTTTTTTTTTTTTGTCACCTTCCAACTATAATACAGAAACTGCACTTTTATAAAATGACTACAATAAATTATTCCAAAGCTTCAACTTCATCTATTTCTATTATGTGGGATGTTTTATAATACAAATAAATGCATAATTACACTTTTTATTTATGAAAACAACTATAACAACAATTTTTCAAATATTTAGGAACTAAAGTGATAATTATACTATGATTTTTATTAAGAACTCTATTATGTGAATTGAATCGTACTTATAAGTTACCAACTAAATGTTTCAAATCCTAATATTTACATTTAAAATAATAAACCAGCTCATTTTTTGAATTATTTCATAAAAGACATAAATAGTTAAATCCAATTTGAATTGGATTTGGAAAAGTGTGTTCTTAATAATATACCCCTGTTCAAACAGTATAAAGTATTCTGTATTATTAGGAGTATTTCCCTGAAAATATCTTGAAAAAAACTTTTTTCAAACATAATGCCAGTGATTCAGCAGATGTGTCTAAAAAAAATCTGGTTTAGATTAAGTGTAGATAATGTTGGACATTAGTTTCAATAAGCATTGATTGAAATATCTAAGGTGTTACAAATAAAATTTATTTTAGATTAAAAAAAATCTAAAGTACTATTAATTAACAAAATATATATATAAACTTTGTATTTATTGTCTCTGAGTTTGTATTTGAATGAAATTACCGGGCTGGCTGATATATTGTTACATTATGATTGATGGAATGTTGTCTGAGATGCCAAGTAAGGATCCTTTATACCTGACAATATTATTCTAGGATGTATTGCACTTTCATAGCCTATTAATGTTTTATCAGCCCCTGTTATAATTTTCTAAGTTATTTGTCAGAGCTTTCAATGGTTTACAATTAGCATTTAGAATAACAAAACAAACAACAAAATAATGAATTATTTTCTGCTTCATCAAAAGTTGCTATTTACCTTTTAGCCCCTGTAGATCTTTGGTGATGAGATATGGTCTTTTTACAGAGGTGTATTGCTTGTACATAGCCTGGTGGGGGCTCAATTTCAATCTCCATAGTGCAGAGGCTGGCCACCCATTGCTCTATAGCTGATTCCCTTTTGCTATCTAGTGTGTCCTTCCTACTCAATCACTCAGATTAAAAGACAGTGACTAATTAGTCTAGATCCATGGATTGTGGCTGAAAGTAAGAAGGCACACAAAGACCTATATTTCTTTCCCTGAAAGAGAATATTGCCAAACCTAATGGGGGCTTCTGACATTATGGAAAACCATATCCTAATTCCCAGTTTAAGTACACAGGATAGGATCATCAGTCCTACAGCCGGTTTGTGTGAGTTGCTTCCAATAGGCTGACTGATCACTTGCTAACGTGGTGAGCATTAGCGGATCCAGGATTTAATTTTTGTGGGGGGCTTCAGCCCGAAAGTTTTTTTTTCATATAAGTATAAAAATGATTAATTAAAAAAAAAAAAAGAAATAAATTAACTACCTATACGAAATGATGTTTAAGTGGTTCTTTAAGGCCTATTAAATGTAATTAAACAAACAAGAATACTTTAAGAGATAGTTTTTAGTATTTTTTTCTGTAAAATATGGTTATATTTTACCATTTTGGGGAGGCTTCAGCCCGAAAGCCCCCTCCCGTAGATCCGCCTGTGGTGGTGAGTGGAGGAAAGGGAGAGAGGAATCTTGGGTAGCATGGCTATCATTCGGGTAGTCGTCCATCCAAGAACTTCCTTGCACTTAACTTTGATTGCCTACTCCAAGCATCTTAGCCAAGTGTCTTATATATATATAAATATATATATTCTACCCTCAAACTATTCCATTGCTTCCGCCATCTCCTACCTCAACATACGCGTAGACTCCTCGTTTCCTCTCTCATCTTTCCCCACTTTGACTATTGCTGTGTGGTGTATGATGGACTCAAAAGAATAATGAACAGACTGAAAAGAATAATGAACAGTTGCGTGAGATTTGTAATTGGTGCCCCGAGATACTACCATGTCTCTCACCACTACACTGAGTTAGAGTGGCTCTTCCCCTCCATTCGATGACAATATTTCCTAGGTACATTCCTCTATCATATCATCAACAATCATCGTCCTTTCTACGCCTACAACCTTCTCCAATTCAAGTCCTCAGTCCACTTCCGACCTTTACATTCCTTCTCACAGATCTGCCTCATTCCAAAACTCCTTTATTGCACGTTCTGTTAGTTTCTGGAATTCCCTTCCTATCAAAATTCGACATTCTTCATCCTTATCTACATTCAAAACCCTCCTATTCCAATTCCTGTCCCAAAAACAGTCAGATACCCGCTAACCTTTTATGTAAAATTACATATTATTCATAATAATGTATTTACATATAGCTCATAACTGAAATACTTAGCAGATTCGACTTTTTTTTTTTTTTCTAAAATTACATATTAATATTTTACAATTGTACATAGTTTTCAGTGTCTTGGCAAGGTTTCAAGAGTATTGTATATAGATTTTTTTATTTTTTTATTTTGTATATAGTATGTAAAACTAATACTTTCTTTACTGATTTAGCTTTAACTTTACTTTTTATGTTTGTTTTTATTCACGTTCTGTTAGTTTCTGGAATTCCCTTCCTATCAAAATTCGACATTCTTCATCCTTATCTACATTCAAAACCCTCCTATTCCAATTCCTGTCCCAAAAACAGTCAGGCACCAGCTAACCTTTTATGTAAAATTACATATTATCTGTAAGACCATATTCACATATAGCTCATAACCCAAATACTTATTATAGATTCGACTTTCTTTTTTTTTTTTTTTTTTTTCAACAGAAACAGATTTTACTGTTAAGAAGAATATACATTTATTTTTTCTGTATTTTTTATTTTTTCTAAAATGGTTTATTTATATTTTAACATTGTACATAGTTTTAAGTATCTTAGTATGGTTTCAAGAGTTTTTTATATAGATTTTTTTATTTTATTTTGTATATAGTATGTATAACCAATATTTTTTTCTTTTCTTTTTTTTAATAACCTATCTTTATCTTAATTTGTTATGTTTGTTTTTATCTGGGCAGATGTAAAATTTTAAAATCTGTACTTTTTTGTTATTCTGAAGGGACTTCGTCCCAGAATAAAATTATTTTTCTATTCTATTATTATTCTATTCTATTCTATTCTATATAAGATTTTATATGTAAGATATAAAATATGTTCATTAATTTTATTATATCATGTATATTTCTAAGAAATTTTCTCACATTCTTGATGTAGATGATCATAGGTGTGTGCTGTTACTTATATTAAATAATTACCTGTGATTATAAACAAATATGGCAACTAGAAAAAAGAGTATGTTATAAAAAAAATCTTACTAACACCAAATGGTAGTTCTGGAGGATAACATTTTTTTAAAATATATTTAAACTAAATAGTTTTTAAAAAAATTATATTTTTATTTATCGTAAACTTTTAAAAACAACATGATTTTTTATAATATTTGTTTTAAAATTTATTTTTAATGAGTTAGTTGTTACTTCAATTGAAAAAAATTATTACTATTTATCATCATCTAGACCAATCCTCACTTATTCTTTATGTTGCAATTAGATTACATTTTACTAATACACTAAAACTGTTCCTCCTTCAGTGATAAAAGCTTGAATAAAATAAATTAAACTATCCATATTAGCTGTCTAAAATTAAACAAAAAATATCTCAACAAATATCTTAAGAGTTATTAATATATATTCACACAAGGAAAGGGCTCCCGGTCATATTAAATTTGAAGGGCCCCCCATTGTTGTACAGAAAAATTTATCATTTTTATAAGAAATTGGGTTGTTTGAAGATTTATTCACACCACTGTATATGGTATGAAAAGTTTTTGTAAACCTAAGATATTTTCTATATTTTATGGTGTTCATATTCACTCTGCAAGATCTTAATGAAGGTTTCAATTTTCTTAGTGCTAACAAACTTATTACAGGTTCCACAACTGTCACTTTTTGGGATATGAAAACCTAAATTAAACTCTTTGGTAAACTCTCAGGGGTAATATTTTAATTTGCACACTTTCAAAATTAGAGATTTCAAAATTGCACAAATTTTTTAAATCCAGAGATGAAATGAGATCCAAAGTATTTCCTACACGTGATGGTACCAACATAATGTGGCTCAACCATAAGGACATGATTCCATATCAATGAAGGTTCACCTGTAGGTAACCTACAGCTGTTCACTGACCTTCATCTTCGGTATATCACTGGTGTGTTTGTAAGGACATTTTTGGTGGAGTGTGTAGTACGAAGCAGCTTCTAGGGGTTGCTAAGAAAAAATTCAGACCTAAATGTTTTTTCTGTTGACTGAAAAAAATCTAAACGTGAACTTCTGCTTTTATTTAGACTTATTAACATAAGAATAATTGTCAGAATTATTGTTATTTTCTTTGTTAATTGATTCATCATCTGGTTCATTGGAAGGATACATAGTTGATGGGAAAATGTTAGAAATTCATAAAACCTGATGATCAATTTTTTTCAGGATAACGATTACGAATATCAATTTTACTACCTTGATCCTTTTCAGCTTAATAGAAATAAAAACAAAACATTATATATATATATATATATATATATATATATATATATATATATATATATATATATATATATATTCATGAAATATAACTTTTAATATTAATTTTATATTAAATTAAACAAGATTAAATGGCCTACCATTCTGAGTCTTATATTTTTATTCAAAAGTTTCTATTTGATTGGAGGGTCCCCTGGAATCTTATATCACTGTTATAATTTTCAAACCGCAACCCAAAATGAGTAAATTAAGAGAACTTCTTCATAACTTTCCAACAAAAACTCTTTGTTAACATTAAAAAATTTAATAGAATACCACCTAATCAAATCACACAAAGTAAACAAATTTCAAGAAGTTAGAACTTTGTCACATAAATAGTTCGCCTACTTCTCATCTGATCACAGAAATAGTTAATTAATTTCTCATGTACATCAGACAAAGGTGATTCATAAGGATTGATAATCTCATTTTGTCCAAAAATGTCAGTTAGGACTTTGTCAAACCCAAGAACTGAATTGTAAATACAATACTGCTACTAGTTTCTTTTAAGGTTATTTATTGTTGTTTGTAATAAATATTTTCTAAAAAAAGTCCTCTAAACTTTTTTTTATGGAGTGAATATGAGAATAATAAAAATTTGAAATGGCTCAAAAATATAGGCGTCTATATATTGACTGAACTTCAAGATCTATAGAAGAATATATTATTTAATACCAGACAAAATATAAGTTGGTATAAATATATATACATTTTTTTTTTTTTTTCGGTTGGTGCTACAGACCTTGTAGATCTTTGACCGTGATATGTGGTCTTCTTGGCCCACAGCAGGAATCCCGATTCTTGATTTAAGTAACCAGGGATAGGGTCATCAGTCCTTCGCCTGGTCGGTGTGAGTTGCCTCCAGTAGGCTGACAGGTCTCACAAACCTGGGGGAGGGTTTCGGGCAGCTTGGTTTTTCATGGTGAACGGTCACCCAAGTCGGGTCGTCACCCATCCAAGTGCTAACCACACGGTCAACGTTGCTTAACTTGGTTACCGCCCGCAGGGCTACCCCAGTCCCATATATATATATTTATAAATATTAGTTATTCGACTTTACTTAATCACTTATTTTTTGTAGTATGCTGTACTGGCAAAATAGTATTATTCTAAATTCTGAAAGATTGTAGCGTGCTTAAATTTGAACAGTAAAATATGAATTTATTGAAATGTACAGTGATTACTCGTTTGAAAAAAAATACTTCTGAGGTTATTTATCTAAAGGTACAAATTGACAATCTGTACTTTAAAAATAACTTATTAAAATTACTTGATCTTTCAACATTATTTCTTATGTGTAGTACATTGTCTTATGTGTCAGAAAGATATGTCCAGCTCTTCTAGAACAATTGTTTTTCCACATCTATTTATTAATCTGCATCTGCCAATAACAGTTATTTATAATTGGCAGATGGGCTGGTATTATGAACTATAAAAATTAATTTCTTTATTTAAGAGGTCAACATTATTTATTTATATCACTAAAAATTGTTAATGTTGATTTTAGAATTAATTTCTTCGTGAAGTTCCAGTTCTAGTCGTGAATATTACTACAATAACTGCAACTACAATCCAATTATTTATCAGTATTTATGATTATTAGCATGGCTATGATGTTAACGTAGGATTAACATTTTTTTAAATATTATTTTTAACAAGATAAAACCTCATAGAGTTGAAAAAAACAAACCAAAAACAATCATAAAAATTAACTGTCATTATAGATTTAATAATTTAGTTTGAAACAAGTTGATTTTGCCATTTTGAGAAAGCTAAATTTAATATTTGATTTATTCATGACACATGTGTGCATAGTTCTTAAATTTTATTGTTTCCATGAGAACTGTTGGTTAGGGTTAAATCCAAGTACAGGTTAAACAAATAAAAAAACTAATGTATTTATACAAAAATATAAAAAAACAATCACTTTTGAGCTGACATCGATGGTAATTGGACTAGCACCATTGTTTAATATACATTTACCAGGTAACGGTTAAATAAGGTGAACAATCTAACAGTTCACTAAGAATGTCTTTTAAAGTTTCAGGTCATCAAATTTGACATCATCAATATCATTATCATCACTCTTTATTTCCTCATGATGTTCATTAGTTTCCTCTTTTCCATTGTACTTGATGTATACTGGCACTGGGTTATAGCTGTGGAGAACAAAACTTTGATAGGATGTAGCTTTACCACTATGTCCACTATGGCCATGACCTCCACTTCCAAGTCCAAAGGAATTATGACTACCTTTACCATGGCCACCTTTTCCTGATCCTCCCAATCCATGACTAGTTCCTCCATGACCTGTCGCTCCCTGTAAAGTTGATCCATGACCACTTAATCCAAGCCCAGTTAATTTATGAATACTCATTCCACTGTGGCTTGACCCTTTTCCACCACCATATCCAGTTGTTCCCAAACCAGATCCACTGTGACCACCATGACTTGATCCTTTACCACTATGTCCAGATGATCCCAAACTAGGTCTGCTGTGGCCTCCATGACTTAACTCTTTACCTCCACCATGTCCTGTTAATCCCAGACTAAATCCACTGTGCACACCATGACTTGACCCTTTACCTCCACCATGTCCAGTTGTTCCTAGACTAGATCCACTATGTACTCCATGACTTGACCCTTTACCAGCACCATGTCCTGTTGTTCCTAGGCTAGATCCACTGTGCCCTCCATGACCTGACCCTTTACCTCCACCATGCCCAGTTATTCCCAAACTAGATCCTAAACTGTGCCCTCCATGACCCGAATTACCTAACCCAAGACCACTGAATGACATTCCTCCAAGCCCAGTACCTAAACTATGGCCACCAAAGCCATGGCCAAAACCACTGAATCCACCATAGCCAAAAGATGATCCAAACTCTCCATGCTCTGATCCTCCATGTCCTTTTCCAAGACTTCCTGCATGGCCATGACCACCGAGTACTCCTTTACCTCCTGTACTACCAAGTCCGAATCCATGAAGATTGTGACCGATCATCCCATGGCTTCCCAACCCGTAACCACTATGCACTCCTCCACCATGTCCTAATCCAAGTACACCATTACCTGTAGTTCCATGTCCTTTACCACCTGCACCCAAGTGTCCACCTGATCCGTGACCTTTTGATTCATGACCTTCATGCCCTTTCCCGCCATGACTACTTGTTCCTTCATGGCCTGCACTTCCATGACCTGTTCCGTGCCCACTGAGACTAGTAGATCCTCCGTAGCCCTTTCCAAGCTCACCAAGACCGGTAGAACCTCCGTAGCCCTTCCCATGCCCCCCATGACCTGCAGCTCCTCCATGACTTGAGCCATGTCCACCGTGACCTAATCCAAGTCCTCCATGACCAAGAGATCCTCCGTGAATTGAACCATGTCCACCATGACCAGATATAGCTCCATGACTTGACCCATGTCCACTGTGGCCAGAAAGTTCTTCATGACCTGATCCATGCACCTTTTGACCTGAAGCCCCGTGACCACCGTACCCAGAAGCACCTGCGTGGCCTGATCCATGGCCACCATGTCCAGAGGCTCCTCCATGACCAGATGCGTGCCCACCATGGCCAGACACTACTCCGTGACCAGATCCATGACCACCATGCCCGGAATGACCAGAAACTACTCCATGACCAGTTCCGTGCACACTATGACCTGAATCTATTCCATGACCTGATCCATATCCCCCATAACTTGATCCGTGTGGACCATGGCCGCCTACTCCACCGTGTCCTCCGTGGCCAGAAACCTCACCATGTCCTTTTCCGTTTGCTCCTGGACCAGAACCCTCTCCATGACCTTTTCCATGAGATCCATGTCCAGATATACCTCCGTGTCCTTTTCCATGTCCTCCGGTACCGACAGTTCCTCCGTGATCTTTTCCGTGTGATCCGACAGCTGTGATTCCTCCGTGACCTTTTCCGTGTCCTCCGGTACCGGTAATTCCGCCATGTCCTTTTCCGTGCCCACTATGGCCTGTACCACCATAACTACCAGAACCATGTCCTCCATGACCAGCTTCTCCTCCATGTCCAGTCACTCCAATACCACCATGGCCTCCAGAACCATGTCCACCATGACCCGTTGCTCCATGTCCACCATGACCCGTTGCTCCATGTCCACCATGACCCGTTGCTCCATGTCCACCGTGACCCGTTGCTCCATGTCCACCATTACCCGTTGCTCCATGTCCACCATGACCCGTTGCTCCATGGCCACCATGACCCGTTGCTCCATGTCCACCATGACCCGTTGCTCCATGTCCACCGTGACCCGTTGCTCCATGTCCACCATGACCCGTTGCTCCATGTCCACCATGACCCGTTGCTCCATGTCCACCATGACCCGTTGCTCCATGTCCACCATGACCCGCTGCTCCATGTCCACCATGACCTGTTGCTCCATGTCCACCATGACCCGCTGCTCCATGTCCACCATGACCCGTTGCTCCATGATTTCCTCCTGTATGCCCTGCAGCACCTCCATGACCCAGTCCATATCCACCTAGTCCGGACACTCCGTGTCCTCCTGACCCATGCCCAGCATGCCCACTGGTACTAGAATGTCCTCCTGTGTGTCCAGCTTCCGTACCTATACCATGGACAGAATTATGACCATTTCCTCCATGTGAACCACCCCCATGTCCTCCTAATAATAAATTGCTGGCATGACTGCTGCCCAGACTAGGCCATCCACTGGAAAGACCATGAGCTGTTCCTCCAAATCCTATAAAAATAGCGATAAATAAATTAAGCCTTAATTAAATTTCTAAATTTGAAACATTATTTGTTATATCGTATTTTACTCTATTCTACATTAAAATGATTATGTGGCCTGAAAAATATTTGATTAATGTCTTCATATTAACAAACTATGAGCAATTATTTAGCTAGCTTAATACAATTGGTATATACAAAAAATTCAATTATTATAATGCTCTGCGCTTAACTTATTTACTATAATGGCTTGTAGTTCTTTTTAGTGGTAAGTGTATTTATCAAAGCTTATAATAAAAAAAAAGAAATTACATAGTATTGAAATATAGCATTTGACTTGGTTCCAAGGCATGAAATATGGGAGGCTCTTAGAGCTAAAAACGTCCCAAGGAAATTAGTGGAGGCTGTAAAGTCCATTTATCAACACCCAAAGGGAGTTATTAGGCTGAGCGGGTTGGAGTTCGGTTTCTTAGACATGGCAAGAGGCTTCAAACAAGGAGATAGTTTGAGCCTATTACTTTTTCTAATTTATATGGATGAGGTGGCGGTGTAAAAGAAGAGAGAAGAAACCTATGACCGGTGGTGATGCAGCTTCTGCTATATGCCGATGATGTCCTTGTAGCTGATTTAGCTGAAAAGTTGCAGCTGGTGGTAACTAAATGGCTTGAGGAACTCTACCGGAAGGAATGCAGAACAATACCAGCAAGGAGGTTATGCAAATCCGCCAATTGAAATGGTTTGGCCATGTGATTAGGATGGAGAAACATAGGAACCCATTGAAGATAATGGACTAAGCTCCAAATGGCAAAAGACCTCAAGAACGGCCAAGAATGTCATATCTGGAATACATCGATTTACTCTGCAAAGGAAGAGGCAAAGATCTCCCTCGAGCCAGGAACTTAGCAAAGAACAGAAGAGAGTGGAGTTCGTGGCTGCTCACCTCTTACGCTTAGAGGGACCAAAGAAGGAAGCTAAAGAAGAAATATACTTTCTTCGACGAATGATATTAATCATTGACAAAATTTTCAAGATGAATTACGTCACTTTATAAGAAGAATGCATTTCAAAACTCGTATTGAAATGAATTATATTTACCTCCATGTGACCCATGCCCAGCACTGCCTCCATGTTCTGCTCCGGCCCCTGTACCGCCGAATGTCCATCCATGTCCTGTTGTACCAGCTTGTCCACCGAAGCCGTGGCTAGCATACGCTCCCAGGCCAGGTTTCACCAAACCGTGCCAAGGAGTCCCTCCGTGTGCTGTAACACCTGCTCCAGGCTTTCCTTCTCCACGACCTTCTACTACGCGGTACCTACCAAGAAGAGGATTGGTTCCCAAAGTTGATCCTTTGATCTCGTTGAGTCCACCAATGATGAGTTTGGATATTTCAGGGCTGTGGGTGGTTTCTGCTGCTACGATTGGAGCCCATGCAGTGCCCAGTTGTAGCTTCTGCCCAAGGGCAGATGGGTAACTGACCAGAGCAATCGGTTTCGCCGGTATGACACCAGTCAACTGTTCTAGACCCCTCTTCGTCGGCTCCTTGGTCTCCTCCTTGCCTTGTTTGGGTTCGATTTGAGGTTTTGTTTTTTCGACATTTTCCTTTTTGTCAGCGACAACAGCCACTGCAAATAAAAGAATACCCACCTGGAAAAAAAAATAAGAAAGCAAGATACAACATTTATAAAATATTAATTTTAACATTAGTGAAATGCATAAGATATGTTTAGGTGTTTGATATATATATTAAGTTGTATTTATATTTTTCTTTGTGTGTTTTTTTAAAGATTTTTCATGCATAGTATGAATGACAGCAAACTCATACTCAATAATGAAGTGAAAATGAATTAATCAAGTTAGTATTTTGTTATTTAATTTTTAAGATTGATTTTAAATTCCTCTGCACACATTTACTTGATGTATTTGTACTGATACAGTTGTAAATATCATAAATAAAAAAACAATAAAGAAAATGAAATATTGATAATTTAATAATTCGATAATATTTAGTGGAGAATTGGATCCATACATATTTATTAAACGATGAACAATCTAGCTTCTCCACCCCCTCTAAATATTCTTAAATATTACTATACAGTGTGAAATGATTAGGATCACTGCATAAATCCATAAATAAGCAATGAACTGACTGATCAAGCAACCGTCAGAATTAATCAGTTAGATCTTTGCTGTTGGTATTGAAAGAATAAAATGTTATTTCTCGAAACAACTACTGAATGTTCTACAAGAGTAAGCTTCAAAAAGAAGTATAAAAAGGTGGAAAAAGCAGCTTTTATTCTTTAGTATTATTATATCATCGTTCTATTTACATTTTCTAATGTCTTTCTTCTGTGGTGTATAAATCAACTCATAAGTTTCTCTAGGCTATGAATTTTATTGAAACTACTTTCCTAGATTGAACGTGGGGAAAAATAGATCTGAGATTGTTCTTGGCCAAAATCACAGTATGAGAGAATGGTTTTACTAAAACTCTTCACAGGGTCAGTCATATGTACGGTATTAAAAGGCTTATGAATAAGTAATTCAAAAACTTAATAAGAAATATGAAGAAGGAAGTTAAGTAATTTTTATTTTAGGTTGGATGTGAGCAAAAAGTAAAAAATCTAATTGGGTCTACCAAAAGCTCGGGAAAATGCAAAAAAAAAAAAGATATGTTGAATTGATTACAAATAATGTACTGTCACTTTTTATTCAGACAACATTAGGCTATTGTATAATTAAGGGTGTATTTTCTGAAATTAGTTATAAGAAATGCATATAAACTTTTTTAGGACTGTTTATTTATTATGCAGAGGGTTGGGATGGATTAATATTTTAAGCACAATCTCTCACGGAAACAGAAAGGTTTATATTAATAATTCTTATACTTAGCAATTTATTGGTTTGGAAAAGTTTTGACGAATAACAAGTAAATAAATTAACTGTAGCACTACAATGGTGGAACATGAAAATAAATAAAATGTGAGCAAAGCTATTTGGTTGACAAAATATTCAGCAAGTGGTATACAAATATTATAAGTTGTCAAGATCTCTCTTAATAAAAACGTTCCAAGTTTCCTGGATCTAAAAATTATAACCCTAAAAGAATGTCGAATACTTCGCCATTAGATATTCCCATCACTAGCCGAATTGGTAGAAGTTGGTTTCCAGTCATACAGAACTTAAACAAACATTGGGAAAAGATATTCATAACGGATTTATAAAAAAAAGTAAAGAACAATTAAGCAAACGTACGTCCGAATTTTGCTGATTTTTACTTTCCTACCTATACTAGGTAAGGAAAGTATTGCAATCGGATCAAATTTCCAACATGCGGTTTTTGACGGATCTATACGTTTCACAGCCACCTGAGTCCGAAAAACACATTTTTAGCCATTGGTCTGTCTGTCTGTGCCAAGATTTTCTCGGCAACTACTGAACCGATTTTGTTGCTTCTTTTTTTATTTTGTAGGGTTTTGACTACTGATGCCTATGACGTTGCTCCATGCGCAATAGCGCAATGAGAGAATAAAGATGACTAAGTGAAAGTAAGAAAATCCGCATCACACAATCTTCACTATTTCCTCTACTTTTAACAGAAATTATTGTTTGACAATACTAAGCTATGGCAAAAAGTTTTTGATCAGCAATATTAGTGAGTATGGAAATTTTTACACTGATCTACCTTAAACCAGTTTCATTGCTTTAGTTTATCAAATAAATCGTAATCAAATCTTCTGGTTGATCAATTTTCAGGAAAATAAATTTAGTTCAATTATTTTTTGTATCTTCATGAACATATGTAAAGATATAAAAACTTTTCTGAAATATGTAGGAAAGTCGTGTGATTGGACACACCAGATATTTTTACTATGTAGTTATTTTCTGATGATTTTCGAATGACTGTGCTGAAATAACTAAAATAAACAAATAGAACAATTATCAGATTCTAGTTTAGAGTATTCAAAATTTAGGTATAAGAAAAAATCTCTTGGCCTAATAAAACGAAAAAATCATCAATCAATTAACCGTTCTTGGTTTAATGTTTAAGTAAATTTAACAGTAAACACGTAGCACAGTTCTTTTATTTTTTGTGTTTGTGCTTTTAACGCTAATTAAAAAGAAAAAAAAAATGAAAAACTGATGTAACTTCATTTCGTTCCTCATGTGATAAGTGTTTAAGAAACAAGACGTTTTTTATTCAAGGAGAAAAAATAACGTATTGTCAAAAATAAGGACTAAAATAATTACCGGGCGACGTGGTTGCAGTAACTTGTAAATGCTTAACATTTTGCACGCTGCCCCCTAATTCCAGTAGGAATTTTATTCTATTTTCTGTTATATTGTTCTCAATATGGTTCAGTTTAGATAGTTACTAAAAAAAAATTCCTTTGTGCTTTTCCAACTTGTTCCAGAAGTGGAACAATGGCAGATTAAGGTTATACCAAGAACTTTTATCTTAATACTTTATTAGAATATTCAATACAAGTACTGTTTTTATTAATATTGATAAAAGAATATTATTATATTATAGTAAAACATTATAATTGTTCGTAAAATAACAGAAAATGCGTATGTGAGAATACGGAATAAAAAAAAAAATTGTAATGCTAATATACAATTTAAAATCCGTGGTATTGGAGAAAACAATCAATGAATGCGCTTCTGACATTCTTCGCATATTTTTTATATATTTTTTTTGATGGTATTTTTTGTTGGTGCCACAATGAAGACACCTTCCTTGGGACGTCGAAATAACATAAAGTCCATCTGTCTTTCTGAGGAGGGATGAAGTCTTCGGACCTGCCAGTGGACCACCTTTCCACGTTAAAGCCCGCATTAGCACCATAGCTAACTAAGACACCAATTTATTTTACACCAAGTTAAGAAAAAGGCTAGTCTTGGGCAGAAGAAGGTCGATCGTCAGAAATATCATTATTATCAGTACATTTATAAAAATAAAAATGCAACTTTCCTTTAAACATCATTGGGATCGAATTGCTCCAAACAATTCTCGTCAATGTCTTCTTCCTCTCTTAGGTGTTCTTTTACGTCAGAAGGAAGCTGGCATATATACATTTCTTCGTCAGAACTATTTCTCGATTCACCATCACTCAACGATTTTGCTATTTTTAATTATTGATGATATAAAAAAAAGTCGCGAATAAAATACCTAATTATTATAACATGTGAGTATGAAACGTTATGAAGTCAAGACAAGAACATAGTACTTATTATACATAGTATATTATTCAGTTATTCGGAATAAAAGTTTATCGCCCCTCGTAACTTTTTTCCTGCTTCTTTTCGGCGCAACGCAGATTTTTCGACCGTCATCTTGAAAGGAAAAGGCGGATAGTAATGTCGATGAAGGAGGATCATCCTCGAGTGATCTCTGACTTTAAATCCAAATTTGAAGAAAGTCGGTCCAGTAGTTTCGGATACAATGCTCGGACGGCAGACAGACAACAACATTTTTATTCGTTTTTTGATTTATACGTATCCTGAAACGTAAAACGTCAAATTTTGAGAGGGGATTAAGTGTTTGAATTTTTTGTTCAATTACAATGGTTCACTATTGAAAATAATAAACCAAAAATATTTTAAAATCGCGATAACTTTACTAATAGTACTCTGATTTCGATGAAACTTTCTTCGTTTTTTGGAAAATTTTAATACATTTAAAACACTTTATCACAGTATCAACAAAAATAATACACTTTTTGAGTTATTCGGAATCAAATTTTATCACCCCTCGTAACTTTTTTCCAGGTTATTTTCGTTGCAGTATGTTATGTAGATAAATTTAAAGGGCACGAGAAGAAGACTTTACCCATTTTTCATTGAAATCGGTACATTCGTTTAGGCTCTACAGACTATAGCAACGCAGTTTTTTCGGCCCCCATCTTGAAAGGAAAAGGCGGATAGTAATGTCGATGAAGGAGGATCATCCTCGAGTGACCTCTGACGCTAAATCTGAATTTGAAAAAAGTCGGTCCAGTAGTTTCGGAGACAAAAATTTTGTTATTCTTTTTTTCGAATTCTACGTATTCTAAAACGTAAAAAATCAAATTTTGAGAGGAAGTTAAGTTATTGAATTGTTTGTTTCGGTTACAATTGTTCGTTATTGAAAATAATAAACCAAAATAATGAATACAACTCTCGACACTAAAAAATCAGAAACTCTAACTTTTTATTTGCCGAACTAAAAGAGATAAAATCTTTATTGAAAAAAAATATTTCAATCTTTGTTTTGATGGGGAAAAAAAATCGGTTTTGCAAAAATATAATGATTAAGTTGGCCTAAAAAAATGTTTAATATATATTCCACTTCTGGAACAATGGTAGGTAAAAGGTTGAGTAGTATTTTCAGGCGTGGAAAAATACAGGGTTTACCATACCTCCGGAGTACAGATGAAGTAACTAAGAGACAAATTATAATAGCTCAAAGTTATGGAACATTATCTCGCCTGAACAAAAATAATACAAAAAAGGGCATGGTGTTCTTTATCTCCGGGGTAAAAACATGAAGTTTTTCATTTATTGGAATAAAATTAAATAAATGTTATAATTATTGTACAATGAAGTACTGTAAGGTTTCAGCAAACTACCGACTCGTTCTTTTTATGGTAAAGAGATACGTATTGCTGTAAGATCACTGATGGGCTTGGTTTCTAACTATTTCGTAGGTTGGATTATATATT